TTTCTTTTGTTTTAGAGGAGTGGGAAGTACCCTCCCCCCAAAGGAGCGAGTGATATTTTAGGCTTAGAAGCAGCTGGGAGCGTGGCTGGGCTGGGACCTGGCTGCAGGGGCCGGTGGAAGGTGGGCGACGCGGTGATGGCTCTGCTCTCCGGAGGCGGCCAGGCAGAGTACGTTACGGTACCCGAAGGCTACCTGATGCCACTTCCCAGGGATATGACTTTTATCCAGGCTGCAGCCATCCCCGAAGCCTGGTTAACAGCCTTTCAGCTGCTGCATTTTGTAGGTGAGAGGCGTATTGGTCAATCTGTCCCACCAAACCAGCTCCTCTTCCTTGCTGTTGTGAAGTCCTCTCTTTGTTGCCTCTATCTCAATGCCGTTTGCCTTCGAGGAGCTGCTTCTCTGTCGCTTCCTTCCCATGGGTCAGAATCCATTATGCCAGACCCAAATCCTGCAGTCTCCCCAGTCACAACCTACTCTGCTGATTGCATATTTACAAGGAAGGATATGGAAAGATGGTCAGCTTTAATTTTCATCTGTATTTCTTATCTTAAATGGCAATTTCTGTTAGGCCTAAACCCTGAAATAACTTCCTTGTTCTCCAAACAACTGAAAACACATCCTGCTTCTAAAGATTTGACTTCCCTGCAAGGATGACCGTATCATGAACTATCTCACTAATTGCCTGAGGATCTACAGTAGACAACACCTTCTTGTACCTTGTGTCACACAATCATTAATTGTTGATAAAATCTCCTCTGAGCTGATTTAAAACAGACATAAGCTCACACTCTTCATTTTGAAAATGTGCTACAGAGGGATTAACAGTAACACTTGCCAAGGTTTTCCTCCGTTGAAAAATATCCTTCTTCTGTCTTCTTCTGCAGTAGCATCTAAAAGCTCCACTAAAGATCAGGGGTTACAAACAAGTAACTTTCCTCGCTGCCTGAAATGCAGACTCAATTTCGAGCACTGTTGCTTCCCAGGGCTCTGTGGTCAACTAGGACCACGTCTCCAGGCCTACTTGGTGCCTCACTTCCCATAGCAATCAGTGGAACACAAACAAATGCATTAGGTCAATGGTAGGTGCTAAAATGAAAGGTAGAACTTGTCCTTCACCACCTTCTGGTATTTCTCCATTGCTGAGAGCCTGATTTCTCATTACTAACATCCTCAGAACGTGTTTTCTGTTGCTGGGAGTGGACAGTCTGGGTATAAAAGGCTGACTGTGCTCACCTAACTAAACAGTTTGGTCACGGGTGCCCAGAACTGGGCAGGTCCAAGCTAAAGTCATCCCACTGAAGCCAGAAAAACTAAACAGTTTGGTCACGGGTGCCCAGAAGTGGACAGGCCCAAGCTAAAGTCATCCCACTGAAGTCAGTGGAGTCCTGTCAGCACACTGCAAGCTGTGTTAGTCCTGGATTTGTTTCTTTTATGAAGGACATGAAGATGCAAACAAAGCCCACTCAAGGGCATCTCTTTCAGCTTCCTCTTCAGTATTTTCCACGCTGCTCATGTTTTAACCCAAAGGTGATGCCAAAAAGGGTAACCATTTCCCTCGGGTCTTCCTTCAGGCAAAATCCAGAAGGGGGAGAGAGTGCTGATCCACGCTGGCGCTAGCGGGGTGGGTCTGGCAGCCATTCAGCTGGTGAGGCTGGCACAAGCTGTTCCCATCGTGACAGCAGGAACCCCAGAGAAACTGAAAGCGGCAGCAAACGCCGGCGCAGCCGTGGGGGTCAACTACAAGAACGAAGACTTTAGCGAAAAGGTCTTGGAGTTCACCCAAGGTAAGAACCTCCGTGAAAGACACTGTTGAGTTGGGGAGGAGTGTGGACATCCTAACACTCTGCACATCCACCCAATTTCAGCTGTCAGTTAGACAGGAACGACCCTGTAGCACAACCTAATGCTCTGGTCAGCCCAAGAATCTCTCTTTCCTTTGTTTAATTGTGCTGTTTTCTGCATGGGCTCTCTTTGGCTTTGCATTCATTTTGGGGCATAAATACTGTGCCTGTGTTACTGTTGCCTCCACAAGGAACCGTGGGACTAAATCCTCACACTTGTCTTTGGAAGTGTTTGAATATGGGAACAAAACTTAGTTCTCTTACTGTTAGAAAATTTAGCTTTACTAAGCATTTGGGATGGTTTATGACAGAGTCTGCATCTGGGTTATCTATAATGATTCATTTTTTGTGCCTGGTTCTACAATTCCTCAGGAATCATTGTGCCAATTCCTAATTTCAGCAGAAAGATTTAAATAAGAACTGCAGGAATGATTCTGTACCTAAAAAGAACAAGCTTTTATTTTTGTCTGAAATTATCCTACCTTTAATGCAGCTCGACTACGTTGCTGAAACCTTTTCTGTTTCTACTCGAGGTGCTGGAGTAGATATTATTTTAGATTGTGTTGGTGGTTCATACTGGGAGAAGAATCTCAACTGCCTGAGTACTGATGGCCGATGGATTATTTATGGACTGCTGGGTGGAGGTGAAGTACGTGGAGATTTGTTTGCAAGGCTCCTTTCCAAAAGAGGGAGCATCCATACGAGTCTATTGCGATCACGAGACAAGGAGGCAAGTAATGGCTATCAACAGTGTATACAGTTTGATCTTAAAATTGATTATAGTTTTGAGAGCTTTCTTTAGATACCAGTGTTAAAGCAGAATCTAACACATTATTACCAAAAAAAGCACTACCTTAAACTGTTACTACATACTTTGGAAAGCATTGCAAAGTTAAGTTCTAGTTTCCCTTTTCTTTTAGCAAATGCCCCCCTTTTACTGAATCAGAAGAATGATACCCAGGATTTCTTAATGTACTTCTTGAGTACCATAATCTTAAAGATTTGGCTAATTAAAAATAAAACTTGCTGAAACCTTTTCTGTTTCTACTCGAGGTGCTGGAGTAGATATTATTTTAGATTGTGTTGGTGGTTCATACTGGGAGAAGAATCTCAACTGCCTGAGTACTGATGGCCGATGGATTATTTATGGACTGCTGGGTGGAGGTGAAGTACGTGGAGATTTGTTTGCAAGGCTCCTTTCCAAAAGAGGGAGCATCCATACGAGTCTATTGCGATCACGAGACAAGGAGGCAAGTAATGGCTATCAACAGTGTATACAGTTTGATCTTAAAATTGATTATAGTTTTGAGAGCTTTCTTTAGATACCAGTGTTAAAGCAGAATCTAACACATTATTACCAAAAAAAGCACTACCTTAAACTGTTACTACATACTTTGGAAAGCATTGCAAAGTTAAGTTCTAGTTTCCCTTTTCTTTTAGCAAATGCCCCCCTTTTACTGAATCAGAAGAATGATACCCAGGATTTCTTAACATACTTCTTGAGTACCATAATCTTAAAGACTTGGCCTAATTAAAAATCAAGGGATTAGGCAACTTGATCAAGTCAGGGCAGGGAGGGAAAGACTCTAGTCAATCCTTTTTCAAAGTAGAGACTGAGGCCATTTGGATGCTCAAAATTACCAAGGAAAAATCACTTTATGTGGAAAATCCTTAGATATTACAGTGAAAGACAGCAGTGCAGAGCCCTAGGATAGATTCTGTCCATGGTTTAATGCATAATATTCTCAAGATTTTTATCAGTATGAGTTTAAATGGTTCTGCACTGAGCTTATACCACTTGTTTGGGGTAATTTAATTAAATGACCCCAAAATTAAAAAATAATAAATCTAAAAGGTTTGTTTGTTGTTTGTACTTTAGACCTGCCAGATGATTACCTGTCCATCTCACTAAGAGAATGTCAGGAAATGTCTTCTGGGGAATTGTGCACATTTTGTATGTTGTGCTTAGAGATACCTCTGTGACACGACTGGAAATAATCTTCAAAGTGCTTTCATTATTTTTTTTTCTTCAGTATAAGGAACGGCTGGTGAAAGCCTTCACAGAAGATGTGCTGCCATATTTTTCTGGAGGAACCTCCGCTCATCTCCGACCGCTTGTTGACAGCGTTTACTCTCTGCATGAGATTGCAGAGGCACACAGGTTCATGGAAGAAAACAAGAATATTGGCAAAATTGTCATTGAAATGCCTGCTTCATCTTAAGGAAAGGCCAACTGCCATAGCTGCTTCAGGGACACAATCATTAGGGGTGTTTGACAAGCAAAGCATCTGCCATTTCTGCATCCAAATCCAGAATGATTTATTGTGGGAGGCTGCCAAAAAGAAGTAAAGCAAAGCCTTACGGGATGTGTTTAATAAAAGGTTTTGTGTTGCAGCTCTAGCATTGGGTCTTGAATGTGTAAACAAAATGTTGGCAAGTGCTGTGGGAGGGCCTGCCCCGGCGCCAAGTGGAACATGGCCACCGACCCAAGGCTGGGGACACCTGGAGAAACTGGCTGCTCATGGCTTGGAGGGGCATAGGCTTCGCTGGATAAAAAACTGGCTGGATGACTGGGCCCGAAGAGTGGTGGTGAATGGAGTTAACTCCAGTTGGCGGCCGGTTATAAGTGGTGTTCCCCAAGGCTCAGTGTTGGGCTCTGTTTAACATCTTTGTCATCGACCTGGATGAGGAGATCGAGTGTACCCTCAGTAAGTTTGCAGATGAGGCCAGGGTTGACAAGACAAGGCCAGGTTGGATGGGGCTTTGAGGGAGGTGTCCCTGCCCAACTAGATGATCTTTAAGGTCCCTTCCAACCCAAACCATTCTGTGATTCTGTGATTCTATGACACCAAGTTAGGTGTGAATGTTGATCTGTTTTAGGGTAGGAAGGCTCTACAGAGGGATCTTGACAGGCTGGATCGATGGGCCGAGTCCAGTGGTCTGAGGTTCAACATCCTGCCCGGCCTGGGCTCCTTCCGCGTCCCCGGCCAAGGGACCCCTTCCCCCTCCAGACAGGCCTCCTGCTTGACAAAAACACGTTGTTTCTAGCTGTGGAGGGTTTAAAACGTATCACCGAAGCACACGTACGTTCTCAGTGATGTTAGCCCCAAGATTTAGCACGTAGGTTGCTGCTTTTAAGGTTTGAAGTGAGCACTCTTAAGTCCAACACACTGTATGTTGTTTCTGCAGATCCGGCTGCCGCCAGAAGTCAATCGGATCCTGTATATTAGGAACCTGCCCTATAAAATCACAGCGGAAGAAATGTATGATATTTTTGGGAAGTACGGGCCTATTCGACAGATCAGAGTGTAAGTATTTTACTTTTTAGTAAGTAGTTGATTATTCTTTGGAAATTCAGGATTTGATGTGCTTTAGTATATGTGTTTATAACTCAGTGTCCCTGTTGCAGTAGAGAGCAACTGGATTTCACAGCTGACAAAGTTAAATGCGCTTTAGCGGTATTCCTGTGTGCCAGAGAGGGATGTGATGATAATTCTCTTAGGTGTGAATTTTTTAGAAAATAATACTGCTGGTAGGTAGAGTGAAAAAGCTTAAATTTGATGTTAACTTGGGTAAGTTGGTAAAAATGTGCGAGACTTACTCTCTTAAGTAAATCTTAAATAAAGCTAACCTTTTACCTTAACTAAAGGTAAAATTGGTGGTGGAGTCGCCACCCCTGGAGGCATTAGAAGCCGGGCAGAGGTGGTGGTGAGGGACAGTGCTGGGCGGTGGCGGTGAAAGTGCTGGGTGGTGGCTGCCCGCCATGCTCGCAGAGCTCCCTCCCCTCACGGCCTCTCCCCCGCCTCCATGGCTGCCCCGCCGCGCGCTGAGGCGGCTGGGGGCGGGAACGGAGCGATGGGCGGGGCCGAGGCGGGAGATGGGCGGGGCTGTGTGTCAGATACATCTTGTCCCTGAGCCACATAGTCCATGGAGAATGGTGATGTGACTGAACTTTGTTTTAAACATGTCAGTATTGTCTGTACGTGTCTACAGCAAGCCTGAGCTTCTCTAGTTATTTCAAATACCAAAGCCCCGAGCTCTGATGTACTTTCTTACCCTGAGTATCGGCCGGCGCCATGGCGATGCAAGCGGCGAAGCGAGCTAATGTGAGTGCTATTCCCTGACCCTTCCCTGACCCTCCTCGGCCCTCTGGGGCGATGAGCCGAGGTCCCCAGCCCCGGGGCTGAGACCAAGGCTTCCTGCCCGGCCTGGGCTCCTTCCGCCAAGGGACCCCTTCCCCCTCCAGGCAGGCCTCTTGGTTGACAAAAACACGTTAAGTTTCTAGCTGTGGAGGGTTTAAAACGTATCACAGAAGCACACGTACGTTCTCAGTGATGTTAGCCCCAAGATTTGGCACGTAGGTTGCTGCTTTTAAGGTTTGAAGTGAGCACTCTAATTCCAACACACTGTATGTTGTTTCTGCATCAGATCCGGCTGCCGCCAGAAGTCAATCGGATCCTGTATATTAGGAACCTGCCCTATAAAATCACAGCGGAGGAAATGTATGATATTTTTGGGAAATACGGGCCTATTCGACAGATCAGAGTGTAAGTATTTTACTTTTTAAGTAAGTATTTGATTTTTCTTTGGAAATTCAGGATTTGATGTGTTTTAGTATATGTGTTATAGCTCAGCATCCCTATTGTGGTAGAGAGCAACTGGATTTCACAGCTGACAAAGTTAAATGCACTTTAGCAGTATTGCCGTGTGCCAGAGAGGGATGTGATGATAATTCTCTTAGGTGTGAATTTGTTAGAAAATAATATTGCTGGTAGGTAAGGTGAAAAAGCTTAAATTTGATGTCAACTTGGGTAAATTGGTAAAAATGTGAGATACGTACTCTCTTAAGTAAATCTTAAAGCTAACCTTTTACCTTAACTAAAGATAAAATTAAGAAAGGCAAAGGTTGAATACAGCCAGTTTTCATGTTTTAATGACTATTGGATACTTAACGAATGGGAAAATAGAGATATTACTATTGCTGCTGGAGCTCTCAACCAGAAACAAATATCAGAAACAACTCCCTGTGTGTCAGATACATCTTGTCCCTGAGCCACATAGTCCATGGAGAATGGTGATGTGACTGAACTTTGTTTTAAACATGTCAGTATTGTCTGTACGTGTCTACAGCAAGCCTGAGCTTCTCTAGTTATTTCAAATACCAAAGCCCCGAGCTCTGATGTACTTTCTTACCCTGAGTACTGTCTGGATGCTGTGGATTAAACCATATTTTCATCTGGTTAGTATGATGTTCTGCAAAGTTTCTAGCAGAAGGAGTTGGCTGAAGCTGGAATTCAGGAAGAGCTTTTGAGAATGGTAGTAAGGCTGGTTGGAGTATTGACACTCATACAAAAGGATTCTCTCTTTTTTTTTTTTTTTCCCCTGCTGAAGAATATTTAGAAGGAGGAGAGAGAGGAAACAAAGCTTGGTGTTTAATACTTCAAAAGAAAGCGTTGTGTTATATTTCAATAGATGTATGAATAGAAAGGAGATGTAGTTTATATTTGATACGGGTTTTTTTTGTCCAGCTTTTATCTGGATGTTGGTAAAATAACTTGCAGCATCTCTGAGTTCTCAGCTAGGTTGCTGATCAGATTAGAGTACAATGTGTCCTTGTCATTTATATCGAGCTTCGTTTCCCCGTGCTCTTAGACTGGGATGATATTTTTGGGAAATACGGGCCTATTCGACAGATCAGAGTGTAAGTATTTTACTTTTTAAGTAAGTATTTGATTTTTCTTTGGAAATTCAGGATTTGATGTGTTTTAGTATATGTGTTATAGCTCAGCATCCCTATTGTGCCTTATCACTTATATCGAGCTTCATTTCCCCATGCTCTTAGACTGGAGTTGGTAATTAATCCATAATATGTTTAATTGTTTTGAGTATGCAGGATGTAAATACATAAACCGTTAAACAGACTGAACTTTACTACCCCAAATAGACGTGCTTGTTCCAGAGCCGTAGTGATTATTCTATACACCGAGCAATCATTTTTAAAGGAGCTTTATGTATAGAATGGCCTTCAATAAACAAAGAAAAATGGGGGGACGTACTGCTGGGGCTGTGTTGGAACGTGGAACAGGGAATGGTGACTGAAGGGACAGCATAAACTTACTGCTTGGCTAAATTACCAGAAACAAATATCAGAAACAACTCCCTGTGTGTCAGATACATCTTGTCCCTGAGCCACATAGTCCATGGAGAATGGTGATGTGACTGAACTTTGTTTTAAACATGTCAGTATTGTCTGTACGTGTCTACAGCAAGCCTGAGCTTCTCTAGTTATTTCAAATACCAAAGCCCCGAGCTCTGATGTACTTTCTTACCCTGAGTATTGTCTGGATGCTGTGGATTAAACCATATTTTCATCTGGTTAGTATGATGTTCTGCAAAGTTTCTAGCAGAAGGAAGCTGGAATTCAGGAAGAGCTTTTGAGAACTGCAGTAAGGCTGGTTGGAGTATTGACACTCATACAAAAGGATTCTCTTTTTTTTTTTTTTTTTCCCCTGCTGAAGAATATTTAGAAGGAGGAGAGAGAGGAAACAAAGCTTGGTGTTTAATACTTCAAAAGAAAGCGTTGTGTTATATTTCAATAGATGTATGAATAGAAAGGAGATGTAGTTTATATTTGATACGGGTTTTTTTTGTCCAGCTTTTATCTGGATGTTGGTAAAATAACTTGCAGCATCTCTGAGTTCTCAGCTAGGTTGCTGATCAGATTAGAGTACAATGTGTCCTTGTCATTTATATCGAGCTTCGTTTCCCCGTGCTCTTAGACTGGGGTTGGTAATTAATCCATAATATGTTTAATTGTTTTGAGTATGAAGGATGTAAATATGTAAACTGTTAAACAGACTGAACTTTACTACCCCAAATAGACGTGCTCGTTCCAGAGCCATAGTGATTATTCTATACACTGAGCAATCATTTTTAAAGGAGCTTTATGTATAGAATGGCCTTCAATAAACAAAGAAAGATGGGGGGACGTACTGCTGGGGCTGTGCTGGAGCGTGGAACAGGGAAGGGCGACTGAAGGGACAGCACAAACTTACTGCTTGGCTAAATCGGTGGGATTCTTCACTAATAAGCATAAAGGAGAACTGATATTTAAAGTGTCTGAGAACGTGTAGGCTGGAACAGCATGACAGTGGTACGTAAAGAATTAAGACCTAGCAGGGGAGCTTTCTGTCAGAGTGACACACTGGTGTGTGTGTCCAACAGGGAGCTGCCAGCAGCCTCCCCACTGAGTGCTGGGAATTACTGATCCATGTTGCTTTCCTCTGAAATCCTGACGTCGTCATGAGACAAGGCGTAACGTGGAACCGCTTCTCTAATGACTCCTGTGCTCTGTGCAGTTCTTATCCCATTCTCCTCTTCATTTCTGTGCGCATCCCGGTGTGGATATGTGGGATATCATGTGTCCTCAGTAGCTCTCTTCTTAGAGGCAAGCACCGTAGAGACAGTTCTTCTGATGATTAAGTTCACTATAACTATATTTTAGTTGAGCTCTTTTGGATTTGTACACTCTGCAGTCTCTCCAGGCTCGTTAGCATTACGTGCCCAGACGTGTCTCCTGTCCCTCAGGCAAAGGCAGCTGAACTGCTGGTCCGACAGGAGATGGCCCTGCCTCTGACGTGGCCTTGCTCCGGTGGGGCTGTTCTGTCTCTCTCAGATTGACTTTGTGATGTGCCCAGAGCTGTCTTCCATCCCAGGGAGACATCTGATCCAGACAGCCATTAACTGACAGCCTGGTCTTGTAATATTAAATAAAACAAGCTAATTGCTGCAATAAAAACTTTAAGGTTTCCCAGAGATATGACAGCCCCCGACAGCAACAGCTTCTGATGGTTGTTGTGGAGAGGTGAATTTCCCTTAAGGAGCATAATGCAGCACGTGCCTCTGTCACATTTTCCTGTTGTCTCTGACTCTGAAATGTACCTGGAGATCGGTGTGGAAAGCAGGGATGTATTTTAACATCTAGAAAAAACCTGTTTCTTGTTTATCTTGTTTAACATTAAAACTGATCTGGCCTGCAGTGGAAACACTCCTGAAACTAGAGGAACAGCCTACGTGGTCTATGAAGACATCTTTGATGCCAAAAACGCCTGCGATCACCTGTCGGGATTCAACGTGTGCAACAGATACCTTGTGGTTTTGTACTATAATGCAAACAGGGTACGTACTCTTGGGGGTGTTTGAGTTACCTGTGAACACAGCTAGGGCCAGAAAAAATTCAGTTTGAAAAGACAGTTGCTTGGATATTTTAAAGAGACAAATCCAAACGGGTGGAGGGAATAGATGGGATAAATTCTCAGGATTCCCTCTGTACTTGGCGATTCGTGTGCAAAAAAAAAGCACCTTTGGACCAAGGGTGTGAAAAATACAGCCACAACAGGGTGTGGGGTCCTGTTTACAGGTAAAAAGTCTCTCACTCTTAATGTTCTGGCTCTTGCTGAGGGTGTCTGGGTGCTGTGACGTTCTCTGACGTCAAGAATTGAGTATCACTGTCGGCGTGTGAGGTTGATGTAGCTCATAGTGATGTTGGTTGTGGTTACTGGGAACTAACATGTCACAGAAGATGTCAGAAGAAAAAAAAAAAAATCATCTCACCTTGTTTTCCTAATTACAGGCATTCCAGAAGATGGACACAAAGAAGAAAGAGGAACAGCTTAAGCTTCTCAAGGAAAAATACGGAATTAATACGGACCCGCCAAAATAAACTGGGCTCTTTGGAAAACTGTTTTCAAGCCCTGCCGTTGGGCTCTTGAGCTAAACGTAGGAATTCTCAGTGAAGTATAACTTTTTAATTTTTTAAAATTTGATAAGCTGTAACTTGAGTCTTTAGATCTTCACATTGGAATTAAATAAATGTAAACCATCGGAAGATCTGCTTCAAGATTAAATCCCCTGAAGTGGACGTGGCTTCTCCATGTTGTAAGGGTGACCCGGGAAATGCTGCGGAACCACAGTCCCATTTCTGGCAGGACCTTTCAAGGTGGGACCGAGCCCGTTGAGTGTTTCCCACCTCCTGAAGCTCTGCCTGGTCTGCAGAGATCCAGGAGATCCTTCAGCATCTAGCCAGTTCCTCCAAAGAGCTCAGGGGGCTCTTTGCACAGAGATACGTTTCACTTGCTCCTTCCTGAAAATGGAATATTGCAACTGGTCTCCTCCCAACAGGGATGGTTGTGCTTTTTTTTTAAATAGAAATAAGTATGGTTTGATGGTTCATCACACCTGTTTATATTGTACACAATTAATTGCAGCTTTCTCCCTCTGGGAATGTTTGAAGGAGCCGAACTCCATCATATGATTGTTGAGCTACTTCTTACTAGAAACAAAGCAAGCCCAAAGCTGGAAGGAGCCGAACTCCATCATATGATTGTTGGGCTCCTTACTAGAAACAAAGCAAGCCCAAAGCCATGTTTATAACAAAGTTTCTTCTACAAAGTGTAGAAAATGAATGTCCTTTTTGGTTAATCTGACTCCTTGGGTGACTTCAGTCAGAATCCCTTGTTCCCAGAGATGGGGATGAGGCAGATGGGCTGCAGTAGAATAATCTCACTCCAATGGTGCGTTGCTGACTTAATGATATACGAGGGCTTTATTCCGTGTACTGGGCTTGGACTAAGGTTGGTTGGAGGGACAGGAAGACATTCCACACCTTTTAAGTAGAGAACACGCAACCAAAATGAGAGAGTAGATGATGGAGTTTTAGCCACCTGTAGTGCGATTGTTTTCTACTCGGTGTGTTTGAACTGTAATATATCTCATATACATAAATTTTATAGTGTCTGGTGGAGGAAAAGGAAGACATTTAAATTTTTTTGGCTTTTTAAAAAATTTTTTCAACACTCTTGGCCTGTAAATAAAAAGTAGTGTGATAGAATGCACAACCAGGATATTTTAGAAGTGGAGAAGAATAACCTCTGCCCCTGCTCTGAACCAGCTGGGAGTCCTGTGGACGCTGGCAGTCTCCTGCCTCCCAGGAGGATTTATTGGCTTGGATTTGCTGTTTAACTCCCTGACCAGACAACTTCAGCCAGGGCAGAACATGGGCAGGTGCAAACACACTTGGCCTGAGGATTTGTAAATTACAAAACTTAAGAGGTTTTTTTTTTTTCAGTGTGTTACACTGTCATTGAGGAATGTTTCCGTTTGCTCATCCTTAGAGTTTTTTGTTGAAATCTGTCGCTTAAAAAATAATAATGCTGTTCTTGTGTTCTTTGGGTAAAAAAAATAAATGTGTGTCTACATAATTTGGCTTTTTTTTCATGGAGGCTGGGTTTATGCTGTGCCACTTCTGCAGGTTGCCTTTCCTTCAAGAAAGGAAGTCACTTGTCACCTGCAGGGTGGTGGCACAGGTGAGGATGTGCAGAGGTTTGCAGGAAGGTGGCTGTGTCCAGCACCCGAGTGCTGGGAAGGCTGCCCAGCTGTGGGTCCCGGTGTCCAGCTGTTGGGCACAGCTGGGATGGGCTGTCCTTCTCGGGTGAGCAGTTACTGCTCCAAGGCCAGCTTGATTCTCGGTCTTGCCCGTCAGTTTAATACAAACTGATGTTTCTCAGGCAAAACCGAGCTTAAAAATATTGAATTGAACAAAATCCTGCTGGAGGGCTTGTTTCTATGGGAACATCTATAGCTTTCTTTAAAGGTAATAAACTGTCCCCCCCCAGCCCTTTCCTTATATATTTATGCCATGTATATATACATATACACACCGAAACTGGGGTAACTGGGGCCGCTCACAGCAGCTGCTGGGCATTTAGAAGTCCCCTGGCTGTAACAGGAGCTGGAGGTGCTGGATTTATGCTTCTAATAAATAATAATAGATGGTGGTAACAAACTATCAAAGTACTAATAACGGTGCCAGCCTGGTTTAAAGTCATATGCAAATACCACCTCGCTTCTGTCAATAGCGGAGAGCGTGGTGCTTGCGCTGCGGCGTCTGTTTTGGTGGGGATTTGATGCTGTTTGAAAAACACACATAAAAAGCAATTCTTGAGGGTAATAAGATTAATAAAAATTCCTTCATTGAATCCTCGGGATCAGCAGCTTTTGATTTCTCTGAGAGCTCAGCTGCTGCCTTTCATTAAATATTCCATTTCATACTGTTGCTTCTCCTGCCTGTTCAGGGCTTTGGCTGTCCCTGGGCATGTAAAATGAAATAATCATTTGTACCTGCACGCCCGCGGGGGGTGAGGGAGCGCCGGGGGGGCTGTCTGAGGGGGGGCTGTCTGAGGGGGGGCTGCTCAGGGGTTGGTTTGAAACGTGCTACAGAAGGAGGGGGAAAGGAGCTGGGTGGTGCGAATGGCAGAGGGGGCAGCGAATACGGCAGACGTTACCAGCCTCAGACGCTGCATTTCTGCTGGTTTTGGGGTGTGCTCACTTCCCATTTCATTTTTCAGGAAGTAGGGCATGAAATTAAGCCTGGAAGGTCTTTTTTTTTTCTTTTTTTTTTCCCCATTGACGCGGTTTAGAAATTAGTAACAAGAGCATATTTGATTACACAGGCACCGACACTAAATTTTTTCCCAATCCATTATATAGTAGTAATAATTATATGTACTGTGTTGATCGATGATACAATTAAATAAATTAACGCATTTGCAGTCAAATAAAGAGCCGAAGATTACATTTCCTTGAAGACTTAATTTCCCTAAGTATCACAAAGCGCAATTAGTTTTCCTTTCAGATTTTTTTTTTTTTTTTAAAATGAAATTGGCATGAAAAATGGTAATAACGGCTGCTTCCAACAAAGGTCTCTGCAGAGAAAGGGCGCTGAGAGCGAGCGAGAGCTTCATCAACCAGCTGTAATGAGGGTTTTACAGACTGGCTAACGGCCGGGCTGCGCTGCTGGGGGCCGAGCGGGAGGCACAGACCAGACCCAGGGGATAAGACCGAGTGGGATGGGCCAAACCCCTTTCTTTTATGGTTTTCTTTGGTTTTTTATTTTTTTTTTTTTTTTAAAATGAAATTGGCATGAAAAATGGTAATAACGGCTGCTTCCAACAAAGGTCTCTGCAGAGAAAGGGCGCTGAGAGCGAGCGAGAGCTTCATCAACCAGCTGTAATGAGGGTTTTACAGACTGGCTAACGGCCGGGCTGCGCTGCTGGGGGCCGAGCGGGAGGCACAGACCAGACCCAGGGGATAAGACCGAGTGGGATGGGCCAAACCCCTTTCTTTTATGGTTTTCTTTGGTTTTTTTAAGCAACTAAAACTTCAGAGCCATGTGCTGATCGACCTGTGTGTGACAGGGCTCTGTGACATTAACCCCACCACCCACAGGAGCTCACACCTGCAACGGCCGCAGCGCATCCTGCCTCCTGTAACCCAGGGCTGGAGTCAGGGCCAGCGACACCGGCCAGGGCAGTGGCAAAGAACCTTTAAAAAGAATTTGGGAAGGCGAGTGGGCATCAAGCCCCGGCAGGCCCAATTTCCTATTTATTATCAGGAAATTAGCCTGTCCGAAATAAAAGAACTATTAGCCCAACGCAGAGGCGTGACCTGGCTGCTGCAGCCAGCCTAGGTTTTCACTAAAAATGGTGGTTTTTCACCAAAAATCGTTTCTTTATGAGGAAGGGAGCAAGAAAAAATTTACTCTCCCAACCCTCGGTAACAGTCTGTAAGAGCTGGGGGTTTATGGGCTCATTAAAATTAAACATATGGGTGCATTAACATTGAAATGTTAATTTTATAAAATTAAAAAACTCAAATGTGACTTTGTGGGTGAGCCTAGGTTTTCACTAAAAATGGTGGTTTTTCACCAAAAATCGTTTCTTTATGAGGAAGGGAGCAAGAAAAAATTTACTCTCCCAACCCTCGGTAACAGTCTGTAAGAGCTGGGGGTTTATGGGCTCATTAAAATTAAACATATGGGTGCATTAACATTGAAATGTTAATTTTATAAAATTAAAAAACTCAAATGTGACTTTGTGGGTGAAATGAACACCTAGAGAACGGGGAGGGCACCAGTCACGGGCCAGCTCACCAGTGTTGCCTGTCGGGGCTTCTCTTCTCTCTCCTCCCCAGGAGATGTCACCTGGAGACCCTCATGAAATGAACACCTAGAGAACGGGGAGGGCAAGCTGCAGTCACTGGGTAGGTCACCAGTCACGGGCCAGCTCACCAGAGTTGCCTGTCGGGGCTCCTCTCTCCTCCCCAGGAGGTGTCACCTGGAGACCCCCGCGTTGCGCTCTCTCTGCTCCTGTGGGTGCCTTCTCCTCACACGCGCTCGCACAAGAAAGCGGCACGACAACTCTTTGAAATGCTTCCATCCAAAAATCCATCACTTGAAAACTCTGCAAATAATTTATAGTCAAGCTAAATAAGAATATCATCGTGACCCAACGATGCTCTGCAAATAATTTATAGTCAAGCTAAATAAAAATAACATCGTGACCCAATGATGCTCTTTTTTTTCTTTCTGCAGCAAAGGGGCAAAGCGAGCCAAAAATGGGAAGAATTGAATTTAGGCAAAGCAAAACAGCACAGAGGCAGCTTCGCTGCTTGGGGAGCTGCTAAACCCAGGTAAATGACAGTCTGTGCATCCCTCTGTCTCCAGGGCAGGAACCAGCATTCCCTGAATTCGGAGAACCATCAGCTGGGATAAATACTACTCAGTCTGGAGCACCAGGGCCCCAGTGCACAAAGGAGGCATGACCAGTATCAGAAAATGCAGCCCGAAAAACCCCCGCTGTGTTGTCCAGAGGCCACACCATCCCAGGGTCCAGACTGGTTTCGTGAGGTGGGTGCACACAATTCTCCTCTCCTTCAGCCTGTCTCAGCTCCAGTAGAAAAGGTTACGCTACTTTTACTGCTGTAAACGCATAGAATCGGAGCAGCGCTGCACGGCTTGGAGAAGCATCACTTCCCATCTCTGCAGCAGCCAAATTCTGGCCGGAGTTGAGTGGTCACCAGCAGGGAGGGGAGAGGGAGAGGCAGGAAATCTCTCTGTCCCAGCACAGTGCTGGTCCCTCTGGTCCCCCAGAGATCTGTAACACGAGCAGCACGTGGAATTATGTGTATTTCACAGAAGAAGAGAAATAACTCGCAAAAAAAATGGGTTGGTGATCGTTTGAAGAACATCTTACGCACCATAAAGAATTCCAGTGGCCAGAGGAAAGCAGAAAAACAGGGGACAGAAGCTGTAAAGTATCAAGATTTTATTGTTTTTATATATATATACTTTTAATTCTTAAATGAGACAGTATTTTTTAAAACAGCAGCAAGCAGAACGTACAAGTTGAGGAAAGTGGCAGCGCAGGTAACTGTTTGGCTAATGCCCTTCATGTACAAGGCGTACATTGGAGTTTTGTTTTTGTTTTTTTTTGAGCACCGTTTGTGGTTGGTTTTTTTTTTTTCTTTCTTGGTTTAAGTGTACAGTAAGGCAGTGGTTTTTCAATAAGGAATATATATATATTTATATCTATATATATTTTCAATCATCACTGTGAATTCTTCTCACATGCAAATTAAATAAAATGTACAACTTGAAAATGTTACAACGGTAGGTAATTTCCCCCAAAAAGCAAAGCTTCTAATAAAAGGCAAAATACGGACACCACGAAGTTAAAAAAGAGAAGGAAGAGAAGGCGTAAGAAACCGAGGGGCCGGCGCTATCGACAGGAGAGCGTGAGCGGGGAAGGGTGGGATTCCAGTGGGGGTTCCTCCCGCTGCTGGCCAGGGGAGGGAGGATGGATGGTTATTAACAGATGTCTCCAGCCAACTCCCCGGAGAGGATTTCACTCTAACCTGAGGAGCTCCACATCAAAGAGGAGAGTAGCGTTGGGGGGGATGACCCCAGGGTGGCCTGTGGCTCCATAGGCCATCTCAGGTGTGCAGGTCAACTTCGCTCTTTGTCCTAAGCTCATCTGGGGTTTGGATGTTGCAGAAAGGAAAAGGAAGACAAAAAACCCAAACAGTATTAGGAGGAAACCAAAGAACTGTTGAATTCTTTTCAGGTCCCATAAAATAAGCCAAAGCTAGAGCTTTGATCACTTTAGGCAGAAGAAAAATGTGAATATGAACTTTCCCAGATTCTGGGAGTATTTATACCATGAGGCTTAAAGATCTTCTAGTTCCAACCCCCTGCCCTGGGCAGGGACACCTCCCACCAGACCAGGTTGCTCAAAGCCCCATCCAGCCTGACCTTGAACACTTCCAGGGATGGGGCAGCCACAGCTTCTCTGGGCAACCTGTTCCAGTGTCTCACCACCCTCATCATGAAAAATTTCTTCCTGAGATCTAATCTAAATCTCCCCTCTTCCAGTTTGAAACCATTACCCCTGGTCCTATCTATATGCCCTTGTAAAAACTCCCTCTCCAGCCTTCCTGTAGCCCCTTCAGATACTGGAAGGCTGCTCTAAGGTCTCCCTGGAGCCTTCTCTTCTCCAGGCTGAAGAACCCCAGCTCTCCCAGCCTGCCTTCCTGCTCCCCACAGGGGTTTGTGTGGGGCAGGGTGGCTGCTGCTCTGATGGGTCCCCACAAGCCAGAGAGCTGGTACCACAGGGACAGGTTTTAGGCACGGGCCAACCTTGACCTGTCAGAAGTGGAGCAGAGAAACGCAACTGCTGCTGGCACCTGGCAGTCATCAAACCAAAGTCTGAGAAATCTGGGTACTAGACACAGCAAACTGGCTTCTTCCAAGTGCTTCGTGCCAACCACACGCCCCAGATCCCTCCAAAGCCTGGGTGGAAGGAGGCAGCCACAAGCTCGCCTTCAGGCAGCAATCCACTAGGAGGAGCAGGAGGGCAGCGAGCTGCCACGCTGATGACTGCAACGGCTTTTGGGCACTTACTAATTAAGGGACAGGAGTCGGAGCGAGAGCAGTCAAGGAAGGGATAAACTGATTCACCCAGCCCTTGTTGTCACTGCTTTATCTGCACTGGCTTCTGGTTTCCACAGCACATTGGTGTCCTGAGCCTTAAGCCACATTGCAAAGCAAGCAATAAATAGTGCAACTCAAATCCTTGAGAGGAAGGTGGGTATTTTTCAGAGAGTCTAGGGTTCCTCAAATGGACTTCTTTGGCTGGAGAGAAGGGAATGCTTGTATCGCTTTCTCCATAGCAGTGGAAACTATTTTCTCTTCCATCCCTCTCTGGAAAAGCATGGTTGCATTGTTCCTCAGTGGATTGTTTCTCAATCCCCTGAGATTGAGAAGAGAAGCTGTGGATGCCCCATCCCTGGAGGGGTTCAAGGCCAGGCTGGATGGGGCTTTGAGCAACCTGGTCTGGTGGAAGGTGTCCCTGCCCATAGGGGGGGCTTGGAACTGGGTGATCTTTAAGGTCCCTTCTGACCTAAACTGTTCTATGATTCTATGATTTTGCATTCTTCCCTTCTCTCTAATTAAGCATAGAAGTTGTTCCTGTCACAGTTGTTCCTATAAAACATCTGAAAAGTTTCCTCCAACACTGAGCTCTAGGACCCCGTAGCAGGGTGTCACCAGGAGTTTGCACCCTGATCTCGTTCACTCTTGCACCTGAGCCACCCGGTCGCACATGACAGGTCCTCACAGCTCTGTGACAAAGTGTGACAAAAAGCAAGGGTTGTTGATGAATTGCCGTGTGTGGCTCTCTTGGGATTTTACTCTGCTGGCACTCAGACTGTAATTAATGGAGGGCAGTTTGGTTTCTCTCAGCATCAGGTCGGTCAGTGAACATTAAAGTTTGTAGCTGGGAGCCTGAAGTCATAAACATGTAACCGTGCAGTTTGGTTCCTCATTCAGTAAGGGTCAAAATCTGTAGCCCGGTCATGGATGTCACCAAAACCATTCCTCCCGCTGCTGGCCAGGGGAGGGAGGATGGATGGTTATTAACAGATGTCTCCAGCCAACTCCCCGGAGAGGATTTCACTCTAACCTGAGGAGCTCCACATCAAAGAGGAGAGTAGCGTTGGGGGGGATGACCCCAGGGTGGCCTGTGGCTCCATAGGCCATCTCAGGTGTGCAGGTCAACTTCGCTCTTTGTCCTAAGCTCATCTGGGGTTTGGATGTTGCAGAAAGGAAAAGGAAGACAAAAAACCCAAACAGTATTAGGAGGAAACCAAAGAACTGTTGAATTCTTTTCAGGTCCCATAAAATAAGCCAAAGCTAGAGCTTTGATCACTTTAGGTAGAAGAAAAATGTGAATATGAACTTTCCCAGATTCTGGGAGTATTTATACCATGAGGCTTAAAGATCTTCTAGTTCCAACCCCCTGCCCTGGGCAGGGACACCTCCCACCAGACCAGGTTGCTCAAAGCCCCATCCAGCCTGACCTTGAACACTTCCAGGGATGGGGCAGCCACAGCTTCTCTGGGCAACCTGTTCCAGTGTCTCACCACCCTCATCATGAAAAATTTCTTCCTGAGATCTAATCTAAATCTCCCCTCTTCCAGTTTGAAACCATTACCCCTGGTCCTATCTATATGCCCTTGTAAAAACTCCCTCTCCAGCCTTCCTGTAGCCCCTTCAGATACTGGAAGGCTGCTCTAAGGTCTCCCTGGAGCCTTCTCTTCTCCAGGCTGAAGAACCCCAGCTCTCCCAGCCTGCCTTCCTGCTCCCCACAGGGGTTTGTGTGGGGCAGGGTGGCTGCTGCTCTGATGGGTCCCCACAAGCCAGAGAGCTGGTACCACAGGGACAGGTTTTAGGCACGGGCCAACCTTGACCTGTCAGAAGTGGAGCAGAGAAACGCAACTGCTGCTGGCACCTGGCAGTCATCAAACCAAAGTCTGAGAAATCTGGGTACTAGACACAGCAAACTGGCTTCTTCCAAGTGCTTCGTGCCAACCACACGCCCCAGATCCCTCCAAAGCCTGGGTGGAAGGAGGCAGCCACAAGCTCGCCTTCAGGCAGCAATCCACTAGGAGGAGCAGGAGGGCAGCGAGCTGCCACGCTGATGACTGCAACGGCTTTTGGGCACTTACTAATTAAGGGACAGGAGTCGGAGCGAGAGCAGTCAAGGAAGGGATAAACTGATTCACCCAGCCCTTGTTGTCACTGCTTTATCTGCACTGGCTTCTGGTTTCCACAGCACATTGGTGTCCTGAGCCTTAAGCCACATTGCAAAGCAAGCAATAAATAGTGCAACTCAAATCCTTGAGAGGAAGGTGGGTATTTTTCAGAGAGTCTAGGGTTCCTCAAATGGACTTCTTTGGCTGGAGAGAAGGGAATGCTTGTATCGCTTTCTCCATAGCAGTGGAAACTATTTTCTCTTCCATCCCTCTCTGGAAAAGCATGGTTGCATTGTTCCTCAGTGGATTGTTTCTCAATCCCCTGAGATTGAGAAGAGAAGCTGTGGATGCCCCATCCCTGGAGGGGTTCAAGGCCAGGCTGGATGGGGCTTTGAGCAACCTGGTCTGGTGGAAGGTGTCCCTGCCCATAGGGGGGGCTTGGAACTGGGTGATCTTTAAGGTCCCTTCTGACCTAAACTGTTCTATGATTCTATGATTTTGCATTCTTCCCTTCTCTCTAATTAAGCATAGAAGTTGTTCCTGTCACAGTTGTTCCTATAAAACATCTGAAAAGTTTCCTCCAACACTGAGCTCTAGGACCCCGTAGCAGGGTGTCACCAGGAGTTTGCACCCTGATCTCGTTCACTCTTGCACCTGAGCCACCCGGTCGCACATGACAGGTCCTCACAGCTCTGTGACAAAGTGTGACAAAAAGCAAGGGTTGTTGATGAATTGCCGTGTGTGGCTCTCTTGGGATTTTACTCTGCTGGCACTCAGACTGTAATTAATGGAGGGCAGTTTGGTTTCTCTCAGCATCAGGTCGGTCAGTGAACATTAAAGTTTGTAGCTGGGAGCCTGAAGTCATAAACATGTAACCGTGCAGTTTGGTTCCTCATTCAGTAAGGGTCAAAATCTGTAGCCCGGTCATGGATGTCACCAAAACCAGCAGCTTGGGCTTTTATGGAGTAGCTGAACAGAGGCCACCCACAGAACGCTGCCACCTGGAATATTTTAGAGGCCACATTGTCTGTTTGTGAACCTGCTCATGGGAAAGGGACGGGGCTTATGTGGCACCCGGGGAGGAGGCTTCACCTCTCTCCTCCCAAATGCACACCACATGGAAAGCCCCGTGAGTCAGGGATGTCCCTGGATGGATGGAGAACTACAGGAAACACCGTGCTCGAGTGGACCACACTTTCAGAAAACCTCTCTGTACCCTACACTGAGACTTCCACTTGGTCTTGTCACCATCACACCAGCCATTGCTGTCCCCACACGCCCTTCAGCTGGCTTGAGGTTCAGCCAGAATCATCTCGCTTACCTGTGTAACACCTTCCTCAAATCCCTTAATGACTTCTTGCCGGCCAATCTTGAACCTGAAAGGCTTGTTTCTGTCTCGGGAGGAATCAAACTTCTTTCCGTTCTGCAGCATCCCTGCCAAAACAAGACACACCGTTTCAACCTGAGCTGCCTCTAAATTTAAAGTGCTGGAGGGGAGGGAAGGAGTGAAAAATTAATGCCTCGCTCACATCAGCTGCTCATTTCCATTTTCACTTTGAAGCCTCATCCAAACCGGATAAGGCAGGAGAGTCAAACGCAGGGGTACCATATTGTTACCTTTGCCTTCTAGTAATTCAGGCTTTAAAATGGAAATCCGTTTTCCTTATTATTCTTAATGCAAGAGGTTATAACCCGTATCGTACCAAACGTTGCACAGACACACACAAGAGCTGTTGCTCACACAGTGGAGCTTCCAAGCAAGCTCCAAGGCAAGGAACAAGCGGGAAGCAGCAGAATAGAGAATCCCATCGCAGGTGCCTGGTGCAGGCCTGTTCCTAAACACACAAAAAAGCTCCCTAAAACAACCCTACAGATGAAGAAACCAAATTTAACATCAATTTGACTGGGTTTACTTCTCGTTAAATACTCTACCATTTATTTTAAGGTATTCTTTTAACAGTGTAACTAAGTACAGGGAATAGCCCTGGTGGAGCCGGTGTCAGTAACCAGAGGGCTGCTCCTATGTGTGGCCCAAAGCTCACCACAGCCCATGGCAGCTTCCACCCACCTCAGGTCTGGGGAGTTTTGAGCCAAATTTTCTGCCAGTTCAAGTTCCTTTTGAGTTCTTCCTGCAAATTTATAGCAGAATACCTAGAATTTGGTACCTTGGACCGTTTACCTTCCCTACTCGATTTACTCCGGAGTATGAGAATAAGGTGCATCACACAAACGTGGCCATTCCACACCTCGCATGGAGAACTTCAACATTGAGTACAACTGCACGGCTCTCCTCATACAGAACGGAAAAGACTCTGCATTCAAAAATATGAAAATAGGGAGGACACTTATACAAATACTCTACTACCCTCATTCTTCTATTTCCAATCAGCCACAAGAGACAGTCCCAGCATTCAAAAATATGAAAATAGGGAGGACACACAAATACTCTACTACCCTCATTCTTTCTTTCTATTTTCAGCCACAAGAGACAGTCCCAGGAACACCTTACTCATTCCCTTTGATGGGCACACCACCGTTTCAACCCATATATTATGAACACAAGCCCAGATTCTACAGCAAATGGCTGAACCTTCACGGAGTGCCACAACCCAAACCATTCTATCGTTCTGCGATAAGGTGTTCGCATTCTCTTTTCCAACAGTGGATAATTATGTAGCTTTCAATTTAAAAGCACCTGGTAATTGCTCTTTCAGAATGCTGTACTCCGGCTATTGCAAGGTTGGGCTGATATTTATATATTAGAATAAATCCTTTCTTTTTAATGCTGTAGTACCAGTGTTCTGGGCATGTGCTATGACTCTCCTGTGCAAGATGCTGTACAAAGCCAAGTTCACTAATAAGCAAATATCTGAGAAAGTTTCTGGTTGAAAACAACATTATCGAGCCCAGCTTTGACAGAAAATGCTGAGAAATACTGCCTTTATGATCCATTATGAAAAATACAGTCTTACTAGCTTCTTTTCAGTACAGCAGTTGTATTGCTAGACCAGCTTGATGCACAAGGTTTATTTTTCAGTGAAAACCATCAGTTATTGTCCAAACAACAAAGAATAGGGGCATATTTTGCTTGCTTAAAAAGTCTGTGTTATGAATCAAAGGTAAATATAAAGAGATGTGGCAGAACGAAAAACAAAGACTAAAAGGCTAGGATTCATCTTACCAACCTTTATGCTTCCAAGATGTAGCCAGCTACTTTTGAGCTAATTACTCTGCTTGCCTCTATAATCAAGTCAGAGAAAAAATGCACTTTCAGGGGGGCAATTCATCTAACCAAATCTAGGGATCTACATTAGGACATAATGAATTGCACCCCAGCAGTGCCTATTTCTTTGCAATGAATGCAAAGTCCAAATGACTAGCTCAGACAGAGATGTCTCCAAATTCATTAGTAGTTAAATTAGCCGTGATGGTGTTCTGGATTGGCAGTAATGAGTACACAGCATTTGATCGTTCCAGTGGGGTTCTGTGTCTAGGTATTTTACATCAAGATTAAAACCAAACGCCATATTAAGGCAAATGAGCTGTTGATCAAGTCCAACATTTGTCAAAGTTGGTACTTCAGCGACGCACATGTGTGTATAAGGCCTTAGGAGGAAAATGATGGAATAACCTGCCCATAAGTTAAGTTTCATAACCTTTACCATTAGCTCTTGCAATATTCCTCAAGTTTTTCCAGTGCAATAATGAAGTATTTTATGTACGCTCCGATGCAGGTACATACACATATTATACAATCTGTCGGCTCAGTGATATCCCCAAACCCCTCCACACGGGCTGGGAAGTGGCACCAGCCCCTGCAGAAGGCTTTCTAGGGACAGACAAACAGGGGCTGGTTTGTAATGTAGGGCACTGCATGTGCAGGAGGGCAGGCGGGGAGAAACAGCTCGGGGGGAACTCTCAGGCATATCATATAATCCTTTTTGAAGTATTTGATCTTAAATTTAAATGGCAGTCCTTCCTCATAGCAATTTTATTTTTAAACACATCATAAAACCTTATGATTCTATGAAATGGAAGTAGACTATTACAGAATCCCAATATTTAATAGTTTTAATATTAAAACTTAGTACTGTCATTACATTCTGCATGTTCAAAGCAGTATGCAAACATTAATTATTCTTCACAGCAGCCCAAGGAGGTAGAAGAAGATATTTATTATAAAATAGCCTCAGTCTGGAAGTTCAGATTGAGATGCAAATTTCCACAACGCTTCCATATGTTTTCACTTCATTTTGTAACTAAATCCTATTAAAATATTTAGCTTAAAGGTCTGACGGTTCACTAAATTCCACACATCAAACTGGTGGCAGAACCAGAGTTAACTCTACAGAGATCCTGACAACAGCTACTGGACAATGTTTCCCACTTAAAATCACGTTTCTACCCACCCATGAGGTTGCAGTCGAATATATATCATATAAAAACTGAGTCTCATTTCACTGTCAGAAGCCTATAGAAGAAAACCTTGTAGGAGAAAACAGGCTGCTTCTATGCTTACAGCAATACCTTACTTTCAGCAACAACTAAAATTCATCAGGGGATGAATTCCGAAATGTAACCTCCTCTGCTGTGATCCCACCTCATTGCTTTTGGAGGACAAAGTGGGATTCAAAGAGTCAGATGTGTCCATATTCGCCAATGCTCTGGCAGGAGGGTCAATTTTTATATGACTGCCCTTTAAACACACATCTAGTTTAGAAATGAGTCAGAGTCCCCATGTGCCCTGGAGAAGTTCCGATCCGGATTTAGATCTGAACTTTAGATCTTTTTTATCTCTATTTCTGAAAGTTAGAGTCGACTATCCAGGCTCCTGGGAGCTAAACCAGCATAACGTTTTATTTTCTCTCTTGCTAATGCATCCATTGATTTTCTTTTTGTGAAAAAATTGATTTGGTTAATATTCTTCCCCAAGGACGGATGCCCATCTTCGGTCTGCGAGCACCTTTATTTATCTGGCTAACAACAAGGAGGAAAAAACCCGCCATCTGGAACTGAAAAACGACATTGTTTTGCAAAGTCAGAACAATCAATAAGAGTTTTGACTGAGCAAGGACATCTAGATGCCTACACGCTTACTTGGGATAATAACCTTACATCTGATTCTGAAAGGTAACAATCATTGCATTAAAATAACGAATGGTACAACCGAATATTGTTCGGATTTGAAAACACACTGATCTACAAGGTGTCCTAATTAATAACCAGGTTTTAAAAGTCAGGTGGCTGTAGAAAAGGAGATGTTTCAGAGCGTGGGTCCTGCTGAATCGCTGAAGTTCAGCTCATTGAAGCTGAAGATCAAAGAGCAGAGAAGTCGTTTTGTTCACGAACGTGAGTAGGGACCCATCTAAACTGCCAAAACTTACAACGCCGTTTGGGCTAAACCAGCAGTGAAAACAAACCTTCAGTCTCGGTTTAACACAAGCTATTATTTCTTATTAAAACAGAGGTGTGTCTGCACTACTCTTTTAACCTGAACTAACGAACGGAGGTCAGTCAGCCTCGGCAGAGATCACGTCATTGAAGTCTGTTTCCTAAGGGCAGAGGGCTAATGACACTGCCTGTACTTGCCTAATAACTTCTGCATCTTTCAGCCAGTTTCAACCAAGTTTGACAGAAAGGTAGGGTTCATGCTGACATAAAGATCCCAGGCACATAACGAAAAGAACTTGGTGTAGGAAGGAGATCCTGTAAATGTTTCTACCAAGAGAAAGGCTCAATCTTTATTTGCTATCACAGAATAACTGAGGAGAGGTCGGGCGGGGAAAGACTTGAGGAGAATTCAGGAAGGGAAAGACATGAAAAGTGCAGCTGGGCACAGCCTGATTTTCTTTTTACCAGAGGGTTCCTTCATCTGAGAATGATTTCATCTGGGAATTCAACCAACCACCTAACACAAACCCACAGCTATTCGGACACCTCTCTCACACCTATGGTCTCAACAATACCATGCCCCAAACCACACCCAAACCATTATCTATACAGAAGATCGATGAAGAAAGAGAACCCTGAAGGCCCTCCATAGGTAGTCTGTCAAGTTTAGGTGCCTGAATCTAGAAAATGTATGTATAAAATGCCACTGCTAATGTTAGCCACCTCGAAGGTAGAAACTGCATCTCAACCTGTCATCTAGGCTGCTTCTACAGTTCATGGGGAAAGTGTCTCCAAGAATCATTCATCCCACCTAGATTTAGATGTCAGGACTGCAATAACCTCCTGGAACTGTTCACCATTCTCAGTCAACAACTCACAAAAGTTAAGAAGGTAACAACATAAATCTGAAATGCTAGACCACCAGCTTCCTATAGGGCCCTAGTGAGGAGGTATTAGCTCATCCATCTGTACCTAAACCAAGTAGACCAAATTGCATCCCAGGCTTCACTGGCTCCAGTGTTCACTGAATTATTTGTCTTTCC